ATGATGATGATGATGATGATGGCTGATGATGATGATGATGATGATGATGATGATGGTGGTGATGATGATGATGATGATGATGATGATGATGTGTGATGATGATTATGATGATGAGGAGGAGGAGGGAGGCGGAGCGGGGGGGGACGGGGGGGGAGGACGAGGAGGAGGAGGAGGACGAGGAGGAGAGTGAGGAGGTGGAGGAGGAGGAGGGCAGGAGGAGGAGGAGGGAAGGAGGAGGAGAGGAGGAGGAGGAGTCGGAGGAGGGGGGAGGAGGAAGAAGAGGAGGAGGAGGAGGAGGAGTCGGGAGGAGGAGGAGGAGGAGGAGGAGGAGGAGGAGGAGGAGGAGGAGGACGGAGACGAGGAAGAGGAGGAGGAAGAGGAGGAGGAGGAGGAGGAGGAGGAGGAGGAGGAGGAGGAGGAGGAGGAGGAGGAGGAGGGGGGTCGTAAAGGAGGGGCGATCGCATCCCTCATGTGGCGGGTTTCCCCAGCGCCCTCCGGCGCCGCAGGCGCCCGGCGGCGGTCCCCCAAACCAGCTGCGTGCAGAAGTTGTCCTGCCCCCCTTCGCACACTGCCCCGTCCTCGTCGGCCGACCCGAATTCCCCCCACCCATCCACCCCAGGGCGGTCGCGCCGCACGCGACGTCGCCACCGTCTTCCGAGGACGAGGGCAGCGGGAAGAGGAACAAAAACGCAAGGAGGAGGAGGGAATAATAATAATAATAATAATAACAATAGCAATAATATAACTGATAACTATTATTATCATGTTTGGTTATCTACATCATGATTATCATGATCATAAGTAATAATGAATACGAGTAACATCAATCACAATATTGTTGCTAGTGCTATCTGTATTATTAATATCATTAGTGTTCATCCTAATAATGGTACGAATACCAATGAAAAGACACAAGCCATAATCAAACTAATCATGATACAAATATCAAGAGGAAGACAACAGTAATACAAATAATAATGATAATAATAAAATTAGAAATAATAATAAGACGAAACAATACACATAAGCATAATAATAATAACAGCAAAAAAGATGACTCGGCCGTGCGTGTGTGGTTTCATCGTCTGACCTGCTGGAGCGGAGCATTCGAGCTCGACAAAAGCTGCACATCACACAATCGCATCCCTGGGACCCAGGGATTCGAAGCGACGAAGCAACACGCACCGCGCAGTCTCGCATAAGAAAAGGGAAGAGAACGAAGAGGAAGGCGACGGAGCGAACGCATGAAAACCGCCCCTCGCCTCCCACATGACTCGACCGTGCGCGCAGGCCTTCCCCGCCCTGCGGCAGCTGGCAGCGGCCTCGATTACAGGGCGCCTGCACTCGCGCACGTCCGCCATACCTGCAACACGCCGACATGCAAAATCCATAGTTGGTTTCCCACCTCAGCTGCCCCGATACGCGACACGCAACACGTACCGTATCGATACGGACCTCAACACGTAGGCTGAAAACGTAGGTCCGACGCGATACATTGGCCAAAACGTGGTCCAATACGTGGAACCAACACGCAACGTATTGACACGGACGTCTTGAACACGGGACGTGTTGCGTTTCAAAACGCGCGTATCGAGGCACCTAAGTTCCCCACGGTTCACAGAGGACGCGCGCCGCCTGCACCTTCTGTGCCAGCTGGGACTCGTACTCCTCGGCCGTGGCCGCCCACTCGCCGCGCGGCGTCTCCAGGTCGACCACGGCGCCTGGGAGGGCCAGTCTGCTCTCTCGTCTGGCCGCGTCCGCATCCCTGACAGCGCACACGGATGGCGGAGCTTCCGGAACCCCTGCAGTCAAAAATGTTGCCAACTCTTGGGGGCGCACTCTACATTGAAGAAGAATAATAAGAAGAATAATAAGAAACACAAGAAGAAGAACAATGATAATAATAAGAGGAATCATAAGTAGAAGAAGAAGAAGAATAAGAAGAAGAAGACGAAGAAGGAAAACAACAACAACAACAAAAAGGATATGACAAAAAAGACGATGAACAATACAAGCGCTAAAAACATAGATTTTTGGCCTTCCGTGCGGATTTCTCGAATCTGCGCTGGACCCCCCTCCCAGGCGCGCGGGGAACGCCAGGCAGGGGCGGCGCCGGAGGCGCCGCCAGCTGAGCCCAGCGCAAATCCAAGGAACCCGCGCGGAGCTCCGAAAATTTATGCTGATGTGGTTTTTCTTCTTCGACTTTACTTCCGTCACCTTCCACCGTCCTTGGCGCCAGCTTCCGTCAGCGGAAGCGGCCTGGTTCTAATTCCGCCGCCCATCCGCCGAGGCAGAGATGGCACCTCCTTCGACCCTTGAAGGCAAGGCCCTTTTCTGGTACGCCTCATGTGTAGACGTGTCGTTTTTACTCCCGCCGCCTTCCGCCGACCACGAAATTCGACGAGATAGCGGAGAGCTCCAGAACCGAGGCGGAGCAGCTCGCATCACGTCTGGGTTTCGCGCTGGCCCCCCGTCTGAGCGCGGCCGCGCCCACCTCGAGGGCCGCGGGGTTGTCCCAACGGCGTGGCCCGCGGGGTTGTCCCGACGGCCCGCCCCCACGCCCCAGCCGCCCGCGGGGTTGCCCCAAAGGCATGACCCGTGGGATTGTCCCAAAGGCTTCGCGTTCTAGCTGTCGGCGAACGCGCGCGTGCTGGCCGAGGCGGCGACGGCGCCGAGGAAAATCGACTTGCTTGCCCCGACCAGGGGGAAGGGGAGGTCCTACCGTCGGAATATTAGTTGTTGTTTTTTCTGGAGCGGGCCGGTTGTCCCCATCCTAATCTTCGTCATCCTGCCCCCCTTTCGGTGGCAACTCATGGGCGCCTCCCAGACTATAGTGTCGGTTCTTGCGAATCGACGCTAATCGACGCCAGCCGACGCTAAATCGGCGCCATCTCATCGACTCCCAGACTCTAATCGACGCAAGTCGACGCGAACGACGGAATTGCCAGGGTACGCCAGGCTCTCATGATTATCTGCCGAGCTCCCCCACTTCGGCTACACGCAAGACTGTGACCCTGGGTAAGAGTGACCCCTAGCGCGCGGCTCCAAGGGTGCGCAGGGTGGCCTAAGCCAAGCGCGCAAGCAGCCTCTATCGCATCGCGCTCAGCGATCGGGGGGGGGCCCTGGCGAGCCCGCACCAAAGGTCACTCCCGCGAAGGGTCACTCTTACGTGTAGCCGACCTCTGCCTTCCGCTCTGCGTCCTCGTCCTCCTCCGGAGTCACTTCCAGCGATGACCGCTAGGTCGGGCATGTCCTCCTACAGGCGGATTCTGGGCAAAAAATAAAACATGTCAAACAAATACTCAACAATCATCAGTAATAGTCAAAGAATCGTCCCCAGACTATGTCTGGACTATCTTTGATTACTCCTCCTGTAAAGGGACAGGCCCGACTTACCATTGCCGACGGCAGCCGTGACCTTCTCTGGCCTTCTGTGCCAGGCCGTCTGACACATCGCGCGCTGCGAGTGGGCAATCCGCCAGGCGTCGCTTCCTGTTGCGCCTGCCATGCTCCCAACTGCCATGCTCAATGGAGAGCTGGTCCAGTCAATCGAAGAAATCCCCCGGCAGTTCCCCGGACAACCCGGACAATCCAGTCTGCTTCAGGACGACAGGACGGCCCACCCTGGACAACCCCTTGGACAGCCCAGCGCGAATCTGGACAACCCTCTCGGACTGCACCCCTTGGACGAGCCTCCCGGGGAATCTTCTTCCTGAGAGTGTGCTAGCAAACTGTCGGAGGTCCACGCGGGGTTTTTGGATCGGCGCTGGAGCCCCCTGGCGGCGCCTCTGGCGCGCTCCGCGCGCCAGGGAGGGGGGTCCCACGCGCCGATCCAAGCAATCCGCGCGGACCTCCGAGCGTTGATGCTTACGTGTTTTTCTACTTCGCCTACAAACATGAGATAGGCCTCATTGTTGAGCCGAGCTGGCCACACACGAGGACGGGAGTGCGGAGAGAACGAGAGTGCAAGGAACCTTTGCTCTCTTTTTCCTCGCGCCCAGGCATGGGCAAGCAAGGAGAACGTCTGTCGACATGCAGCCGGGCAACCTGCGCGCCGGGGCTCAACCCCAGCGCCCTTCGTTCGGCGGGGTGTCAGAAGCGGAAAGGAGAACGGAAAGGCAGGACCGGTCAGCTGAAGGGGCCCCAGGACACACAAAGAAATACACACAAATAAAACTATTCCCCCTATTTTCCCATATTTTTTGGGTTTTTGTCTTCCCCACCACTTCCCATATTTTCCCATATTTTCTGGGGAATCGACGATTAATTGTGTCTGTGTTTTTTCCCTCCCGATCAGCATCGAGTCGAGGGATCGGATCGAAAACAAAACGTGTGCCAAGTCGGGCTGCGTGGCAGAGCGTCGGAATCAAGTCGGATCGCGCTGGCCAGCATCGAGATCGAATCGGATCGACCGCATCGAGACGAAGCCTGAAGGGCACGGGAGGCAGGGACGAAGCGACCTAGTGGAAGTGTGGACGACTCGCGGAGAAAAGGCTGCGTCTTGGAGCCATTGCCGGAGACGTGCATCACTCGAGGCAAGCTGCAGACCCAAAGCGGGGGAGGATGAAGAGCCGCGACTGACGCGGATGCCCACGTGGGTATTGCCTTGGCCACGGCGCCGTCGGTGGCTCCTGCCCCCCTTTCCTCACCCTCGCCCTCCTCCAGTAGTGGAGGCCGCCGGGATAGACCCAGAGCAGACGGGGTCGGAGGATCGCACCGCATCGCCGATGCATCAGTGACGCTGGTCGAGCCGCATCGCCGATGCATCGGTGATGCGGCCCGATCCTCCGACCCCATCTGCTCCGACCCCATCTGGGGGGCCTGGGGGAAGCGATCAGATCTACCCGAACCGACCCCGTCGGCCAGCCCACAAAGGCAGGAAGCGCCCGGCAGAGGTCTCCAACATCTGCTGCCGGCTGCGCTAAGCACTAGAGGCAACAAGGGTTTACCCAGCCCCTTGCCCCTCGACGTCAAGGGCGCCTGGCCCCCAAGGTGCGGACATGCGCATGCGCACGGAGGACAAAACAAATCCAAGTGGCCTCCGAGCTGGGCGCGTCGCCATGCCAGCGCCTCCCTCGCCCCGCCTCCCCCAGGAGATCCGTCCCGGCACCCATCCTGGCCAGCTTCTCGAGCCGAGTGCGGCCGTGGCCACGAGAGCCTCCCGAAGCGCCCCGACGCACCTCCCAGAGGACCACGCCGACGACGCCGTCGTCGCGTGGTCGGTCGGCGCGCCGACGACAGCCCCCGCCCCCGGCACGCGCGCGCGCGCGACAGTGCACCTCTGGCCAGGTGCGCCACGCCCGGCCCACCCTCTGGAGGCGGCGAGGGGTACAGTCAAGAGGAGGCGGGAAGGCGAGAGGGGGGAGAGGCGTGCGAGGCACAGTGCTGTGCCACAAGGGGCGCTGCCCATCCGACGAAAGGGCTTTTCTGGCAGCGGCGAGCCCGGCATGGAGCCCAGAGGGGGTAGGCCACCCTGGGCCCTGCCCTGGGATAACCTCAAGGGTAGGCCCTGCCCTAGGCCCAAGGGTAGCGTAGGGAAGCCCTAGGGTTGGCCTAGAGGTAGGCCTTAGGGGTAGTCCCCAGGTGTGGGCCTAGGGGAGGCCTAGGGGTAGGCCCAGAGGGTAGGCCTGAGGGTAGGCCTAGGGGTAGGGTCTAGACACGACGACGACGACGACGACGACGACGACGACGGCGACGGCGACGGCGACGACGGCGACGGCGACGGCTGAGCAGCACTAGTTTCCAGAGCCGGGCCCGCTCGTGGCGACGCGGCGCCCGCCCCCTGGGGGCCCCTCGGGCCAGGCCGCGGCCCGACTCGGGGCGGGTCGGGGCCCCTCGGGCCGGGCCGGGGCCCCTCGGGGAGGGTCGGGGCCCCTCGGAGCCCGTCGGGGCCCGTCAGAGCCCCTCGGGGCCCGTCGGGGCTCCTTGGGGCGGGTCGGCCCGAAGCCTTGGCAAGTCGAGGCTCGGAGAGCTCGGACCCTGGCGTCCGTTCGGAAGTGCACAGCCCTGGCGGGAGAGGGGGAGCCTCGACCTCCTCGAGGCCCCCCCGCCCTCAAGAACCGGACGCCCCCCAGGGCTCTCAGAACCCCTCTCGCCTCCCCCTCCTCCTCCTCTTCCTTCCCCCTCGTCCTCCTCCTCCTCCTCCTCCTCCTCCTCCTTCCCCCTCGTCGTCCTCCTCCTCCTCCTCCTCCTCCCGCTCCTCCTCCCGCTCCTCCACGGGCGGGTCGGGTCGGCCCGGCGGGGCATTCGCGCCTGGACTAAATCAGGCTGCATCGTCCGGCTGGCTCGCGAGAGCCCCACCGGCCGGGCCTGGTCGAGCGGGCTGGGCCCTCACGGGCGGGTCGGGTCGGGCCGGCGGGACATCAAAACATGGATTGAGGCATGCTGCATCGTCCGGCTGGTGCGCGGAGAGAGAGAGAGAGACCCAGCGCGAGAGACCGCGCTCTGCTCGGAGGCCGAGACCCGACCACGACGACGACGCAACGAGCCAGGCGACGCCCTGACGATGGGCGGCGAAGGGTCGGCGACGGCGACAACAAGGCGGCGGACACGACGCCGGGCCTCGGGGCCACGGAGGGGAGAGAAACCGAAGGAGGGAAGGGGTCGAGAGGTCCGGAGCGCTCCTCAGCGCCCAACGACGCCGGGCCCGTCCTCGACGACGTCAGCGACGGCGACGACGGCGACGACGGCGGCGGCGGCGGAATCGCGAGTCGGATGCTCCTCATCGAATTGGCTCGATTCGGCAAGCACCGAAATCGTTTTGAATTCGAACCAGCGGAGTGAGAAGGACCCCTCGAGACGCTGGTATCGAAGTGCATTGTCGGGGTACCGACGGCATCATGAAACGGCGAAGAGCGCAACGAGTACGACGGGGAGGGCGACGAATACGGCGACAAGTGCAACGACGAAGGCCCCAGCACGTTCCAGGAGGCCCTCGCGACAGTCTATGAGACCTCCGACGCCTAGGGTAGGTCCTCGGGGTAAGCCTAGGGGTGGGCAGGCCATTGGGGTAGCCCTAGAGCACGTAGGCCCTAGGGGTCGGCCCAGGGTCGGCCTAGTGGTAGGCCCTAGAGGTAGGCCTGGGGTAGGCACCCCCCAGGATCTACATGGCGAGCCTCGGCCACTATGAGGCCCCCCCCCTCAGGCATACAATAAGCTTTCGGAGGTTTGTGCGGTTTTGGGAAATCCAGTGGGGGTCCAGCCTTCCAGGGGGGGTCCAGCGCCGATGCAGGAGATCTGCGCGGACCTCCGAAAGTGTATGCTTAAGCCGACGCGCTTCGAGAGCAGGGAGGGTGAGGAGAGGAAGGGAAGCAAGGACGGAGAGGGCAGCTGCTCTCACCTCTAGCTGAGCAAAAAAAATCAAGGGACCACTGGAGATTCGGGTCTTGCAGCGACCCCTCCGCGCGGGCATCTGGGCTGCCTGGGGCTGGAAGGTCGGCTGCGTGCGCCAGCACGAGTCTTTGGCCGGGGGCCAGCACGCTCACACCAGCCTTCCTGGCTGCCCTCAAGGCCGATTTGATAGGCCCCCCCCTCTCTCGGTCCCCTCTCCCTCGCCCTGTGAAGTCCTGGCGGCGTCAGTGTTGGGTTATCAGTGCAGATTGGCGCCCAGACCCAACCCTCGGTAGACGCCAGCGCTGGGTTACCCTCCACTGATCCATAGTCCTGCCTCCGCCCAGCCTCGCCTCCCGCCAGGCCAGTGGCTCCGCGACGCAGAAGGCCGGTCAACGCGCCGGCCAAGCCGATCGTTGCTTCAGGCTCGGCGCGTCGCCCGGCTTGCCTCGTAGCGGTTCCAGACACAGACGTGGCAGTGGCTGCAGTCCGCCCCGTCCTTGCACCCGCGGTTCTTGCGCACGTACTTGCAGGCATCCTGGCAGGTGTACGGGTGGCCCACGGAGCCGACGCTGAGCACCCCCGCGAAGTCCTTCGGCATGCCCAGGCGGTCCGGCGACTTCTTCTTCTGCGCCATGGCCGCGGCGGCCTGGGGCTCTCCGGCGCGCGCCCGGCGGGGCCGCGCCGCGGCGGACCCGGGCGCCCGCGGGGGCGGCGGCGCTCCCGCCGAGGGCTCCCAGCGGGGCGCCATCCCCTGCGGGGGCTCCTCGGGCGTACCCCCCAGACCCCCGACGTCATGATTTTTTCATGACGTCGACCCCCAGCGGTCTGGACCCATCCCCCGGGACCGGTTCTTCGTCCTGTTTTCTGACGGTCCCGAGGGCCGGTGAGGGCCCCCAGAAGCCAAAAATCATCAGCCAGACGAAGGACTCAACCATATGCAGGTGTGAGTGCCGCAATTGTGATTCCCTTTTTCGGTGGTGATCCCCATGGGGCAACGAACCGTGCTAGTGGTGTGCCGAAATGAATGGCGTGGTACACAACGCGAACGAAAAACGATTGATCTGAGTACGTAGGGAGACTGAGCGCGGGCGAATCTGAACGCGAGTGCGTCTGACTGTGAATGAATATGCGTGCGAGCGAGTCTACGTGCATGAATGCGAGCATGCCAATGCATGGTGCAATTGTATATGAATGCTAATAGTTTGTGAATGACTGCCTCTGAATATTCGTGACGCTGGGCGTGGCCGCCGCAAGGAGCTTCCCCGGGACTCCCCGACGGCATCGCCCGCGCGCCGCGACGCCACCGCGAGGATCGCGCCCGCTTCCTCCCCTGCTTTTACTCCCTCTTTGCCCGCGCACTCAAAAGTCCAACGCTGCGGGCGCAGCGCAGCGCAGAGTCCCAGCGACGCGCGCAGGTCGCCCCGGAGGGGTCCCAGCGACGCGCGCGGGTCGTCCGCTGCGCGCAGCAAAGAGAGCTAGCTGGCTGGCTGATAGCGGGCAAGGCTCTTGCCGCTGGGCAGAGCGACGACGGGCGAGGGAGGCGCGGAACCCCGACGGCCTCCGACGGAGGTGTACTGGGTAGTGGAGACGCGTGCGGACTGCGCCACGGGGACCTTCGGTGGAGCTCCCTATGGGGCCACGAAGCGCGTGAAGGGTGTGCCGAAATGGGTGTGCGGGACGAATGCGGGCACACCCACTCGGACCTTCGGTGGAGCTCCCTATGGGGCCACGAAGCGTGTGAGGGGTGTGCCGAAATGGGTGTGCGGGACGCATGCGGGCACACCCACTGGGACCTTGAGGGCCGGTGAGGGCCCCCAGACCTCCCGTCGTGATTTTTTCATGACTCGAGGGGGTCTGGGCCTGCGGCGGCCACGCGGGGGCCGCTAGCGGCGGCGCCAGCGCGCAGGCCTCCGGGGGCGGCGTGCGGCCCCGGGCCCTGGGCGGCCGGGCGGCCGGGCCGGGCAGCCACTGCGGGGGCCTCTGGGGCAGGCGCTGCGGCCCCGCGGGCGGCGGCAGCGCGCGGGCCTCTGGGGACGGCGTGCGGATGCGGGAAAAGGCCGCGTCCGGCGTGGCCCCAGAGGACGCCCAGGCGCGGGCGGCGGGGCGCAGCGCGTCCGCCGCGGAGGCGCCGCAGCCGCCGCAGAAGCTGCCGAGCAGCGCGCCCCGCCGCGGCGGCCCCCAGGCCTCCTGGCCGTGGCCCCGAGGCGTGGTGGCCTCCATGAGCTCCTGGCCGTCGGCGCAGGGCTCCAGCGCAGGGCCCCTCGCACAGAGGCCCGGCTTGCCGCGAGCGGCGGCTGCGCGCTCGGACCAGTCTGGGCTGCTGTCGCAGTCGTCCTCGTCGGAGATCTCGGGGATGTCAGTCACCTCCCAGCTGGACGCTCCGCAGTGTGGCAAGCCGTTGGAGGTTCGCGTCGGTGAAGGGTCTGGGGTGCGCCAGCCGCGGTTCAGCCCCGGCGTGGCACGCTCCCGCACGCTCAGGACGAGCTGGCTCGGCATCGCTGGGCCAGGCTCAGACGCTTACCGTCGACCCTGAGATCCGACGTCGCGAGACATTGAATGATCGGGAGAATGACGACCTGAGCGCTAGACCCGATCCTTCTGCGTCGTCTTTCGAACAGGATCGATCTGTGAGGGCCCCGAGGCCCGACCCATTGTGTACCACAATGCGACGCCGAGATCTCAGGCCCCTGGCCTCGGGGTAGGGACTTGCCTCTACTCCTGTCTGCCAGCCTGGGGCACTAGGAGCCTCTGGAAGCCAGGATGGCAGTGGAGGGCAGGCCGAGGAGGGCAGGCTGAGGAAGAGACGCCAATTAGCTTAAAGCCAGGGCCATCTGCATCTGGCACGACGCGGGCCCACGATCACGTGCTCCTCCTCCTCCTCCTCCTCCTCCTCCTCCTCCTCCTCCTCCTCCTCCTCCTCGCGCCTCGCTCCTCGCTCCTCGCTCCTCGCTCCTCCTGCTCCTCCTCCTCCTCCTCCTCCTCCTCCTCCTGCTGCTCCTCCTCCTCCTCCTCCTCCTCCTCCTCCTCCTCGTTCCTCCTTCCTCGTTCCTCGTTCCTCGTTCCTCGTTCCTCCTCCCTCGTTCCTCCTCCTCCTCCTCCTCCTCCTCCTCCGCCTCCTCCTCGTCTCCTCCTCGCTCCTCGCTCCTCCTCCACCTCCTACCTCCTCCTCCGCCCCTCCTGCTCCTCCTGCTCCTCCATCCTTCCTCCTTCCTCCTCCTTCTCCTCCTCCTCCTCCTCTTCTCCTCCTCCTCCTCCTCCTCGTTCCTCGTTCCTCGTTCCTCGTTCTCGTTCCTTCGTTCCTCTTTCCTCCGTTCGTCGTTTCCTCGTTCTACTCCTTCCTCCTCCTCCACGATGGACAGACTACCACAGCGATGCGGCCCCTCTCTCTCTATCTCTCGTTAAGTATACACAACTCGATATATATATATATATATATATATATATATATATATATATATATATATATATATAACGATAAGCAGGGAGAGGAGGAGGGAGTGGACGATGAGAAGACAAGGCGAGGAGGAGGAGGAGGAGGATGAGGAGGACCGACAACTAGAGCAGCAGCAGCAGCAGCCGCCACCTCATTCGTCTCGTTTTGTCCAGCGCTGCGCTGAGTCGTTTCTGCTGCACCATGGTCCACACGAGCGTTGCAACGTCAGACAAACATCCAATATCGCGCTCAGAGCCTGGCCAACGTCAGAAAAAGTAGCAGCAGCAGGAGGCACTGGCCCTCAGGCGGGCCCACCTGCAGGCCGGGGCTCTCCCGAGGGCCGCGGGCCCCCCCGACAGGCAGGGCACCCTAGGAGGAGGAGGAGGAGGAGGAGGAGGAGGAGGAGGAGGAGGAGGAGGCAAGGAGGAGGAGGAGGAGGAGGAGG